AAAATATTTCCAGAACCTTTCTGGGAGAAATTAAAGAAGGCCCAAACAAATGGAGAGGTATATTATGTTTATGGGTTGGAAGTCTATATTGTTAAGATGTCATTTCTTCCCACACTGATACCAATCAGAATCCTAGCAGATTCTTGTGTAGAAATTGACAAGCAGATTAAATAATTCATATGGAAATGCAAAGGACCTAGTTAGAATAAAGGAACCAAAACAAATTTGAAGAACAAAAGTTGGAGAGCTAGCAGTATTGAAGATTTACTGTAAAACTACAGCCTAACTAAAGTATAGGATCAGTGGAAATAGAGATAAGTAGATTAATGAAACAGAATGGAGTCTAAACATAAACCCATACATACATAGACAACTGATTTTCAACAGAAGTATAAAATCAATTCAGTGAAGAAAGATGGTCTGTTTTTGTCTTCAAAATAAACTTTATTTCTTGCAGAGTCTGCAAAAATAACCTAAAAATTGATCATATGCCCCTATGTAAAGCACAAAAAAGAAAACAATTGTGGTTTGGGATGAGGCAAAGATTTCTTAACTGCAACATCAAAAAATCAATTCTCTAAGAATGTATGGGAAGTGGGAAAAAGTAGTTGGCATTTCTAGATAATAGATTGAATTTGCATTAGTTTGAATCTCCTCAGCAATGTAATTTTTCTCCAGAAACATATGACATTCAAGTTATGGATGTATACTAGTGTAATTTGGGGAGTTGGCTGGGATTGCTATGGCAGAAGATTAATATTGCAAGGAAACTAAGGGAATTGATTTAGAAGCTCAAATGATCAACCCCAGTGTTCTTACTGGATAACAACAATAAGAATATCAACAAATAAGATCCAAAGGGACATAGTACCCTGGGAGGAAATAAATACAGGAAGGAAGGGAATGGGGCATCTAAATTTTAACTTCAGTTGTCATGGAATATAAACACTAGAAACCTGGGAGTTTTAACTCCCTGAGGCCAAATAGTTTCAATTGATGGTATGTCTCTGGGAATAATACAAGTACTTGACTAAGCTTTATAAAAATATTTTGCTCTGTTAATGGCCTTAAAATTTTACTAGTCATAATGAAATAAAAAAAATTAGAGTAGAAGTTTTTCTAAAAGTCAGTGATAAGCTCATTGTTTTTTATCTTGAAATTTATTTTTAGGTTTTGATTGGTTGAATCAGAGGGACTATTGTTAGAATTAGGCACTATTGTTGAGCAAGGATTCCTTTCCCTTCCTACTGTCATCAAAGCTCTTGGCTTAAATTTTATTCCAATAGTTTTCTATCTAACATTGCCTCTAAGTTGCACCAAAATATTTTTCAGTACACATATTGTTGAAGCCAAACTTGATTTTTTTCCCCCTTTGAGTATCTTCAAGGTACTCAGGAGGTTCCCCTTACATCACTCATTATTGTCCTAGAGCCAGAGGGTGAGCTGTAGACTTGCTTGACTGCTGGAAAGCAATTATAGGATCTCTCAGTGTTGCACAGGCACAGGACCAAATGGATAGCTATAAATTAATGATGAGCATGAGCCCATTATAAAATCTTTGTGAATTTTGTAGGATAGCTATTAAACCCAATCATTATTAAGAATAAAAATATGAATATTTTCAATCAATGAATTATATTAGAATCAAATCTTTTGGGTAATTATTTTACAATATTTTACTGTTATATGTACTCTTGAGGTTCATTCCATCTAATGAATTTATATGGTACAATACTATATAACAGAGTGCTGTTCTGCATCTTCTCAATTCTGTGCTCGGTTGTGTCCCGTTGATAGTTTAAAACCAGCTCAGGTAGGAGTATTTGCACCATGAACACTGGCCAAACCTGTAAATCAAGACCTTTTCCCCCAGGGAGAGCCAGCTGTTAAACTCTACAGGGATATAATAGTCTCTCTAGCTTCTTCTCATTTTATCTCAAAGACCTGAAGAAAAAACTCAAATGAAGGCCCTAGTTCCTTCTGGTAAGCGCCTCTCTTATAAGAACATAGCCTTATCACTACATTCTTCTTTTCTGTTTGTTATTAAGTTTTTGTTATATACTTCTCTACCATCATGGGCCCCAGGTGATGGCTTTTTCTCTCCTTTGCTTGCTCTTCCTAGAGTTGAATCTCATTTTGACCCCTGATTATGTACCAAATTCTTCTCTCCCTTTCTAGCACTGCCGTAGGAAGAATAAGATATGAAACAGGATGACATAGTTAATAGATAATATTGCCAGAGTTTCAGTCACTTTTACCATTGGACACTGAGTTTATCGGGATTTTGTATATTTGGCAAAATATTAGGTTAAATATTCAGCATAAAAGTCTAAGTATTCATTAACTGCATTTTTAGGGTTAGCCATTCTTCTATATGATATCTTCAACAGAACACAGTTTTATTTCTCATGATGAAAATTTTATAAAAGGGAATCTGTTTGCCTTTCACAAGTTTTTTTAAAAAATATTTTTGTGTTCTTTTTTTATGTATCTTTGTTTATTTATTTTTACGTAGTGTTTTAAGTAAATTGACTGTTAGCAATGCTCTTGGTTTCAAGACATAGAAAAGTGAAGAGAAAAGCTGATGTCAGTAGTTTAATGATGATAAGCAAAAATCCTAGAGATCAACATGGCCTTTCATTGTGATCAAATGATGACTGCTGCAGACAACCCAGTCATGCCACCTGCATTTACAGCAAAAAGAGACAAGATAGGAGTCTAGAGTTGCGCCTATGTGTGTCTCGAATTCATCTGAATGCAAAGAGTTTGGGAAACTGGATATTTGCTTTAACTAATATTTAATAATATTACATTTTATAAGAAAGGGAGACAAGAGAGCAGGGATTGGGGTTAGGTATTGGATGTGCCTGCAGTAAAATTCCATGAAGTATACAATAACATCTTTCCTACATATCTAAACGTAATATATTGAGACAATTTAAAAGATGAGAATATAACTAATGTGTATGATATAATTCTTTGAAGAAATTCATTAAACTTTTTTCAGTCTTTGTGAGGGCCTAATGGAAAACTAGTTTTTATTTATTGAAAGGTATTTGAATTTAGAAACTGGTCTCTGTGCTTTCACATAAACTTTTGAGGTGTAAGAGTTACTCCTGATGTGACAAATTAGGAAATGAAGCAGTTTCCTCCAGATCATAGAATATAAAAAACTTGTGTAAGGCAAGTTTGCACCTAACCTTTTGTCTATGGAAAATTTCAGTTTTGCATAAATTAAAATGAATTAGAATTTTATGGAAAGAATGACATTTTGAGAGTGAGGAAACTTAAGGATACACACATGTGTTATGTGTCACTTACCTGTGTATTATGTTTTATACCCATTTGATGGAGCAGCTAGAACTCTCTAGGTCTTCAGTAATATACTGGCATAATAACAGATAACATATGATGATGAGCGCTTACTACATGCACTCATCAAATGCATTTTACCTATGCTAATCACTTAATTATCATAAAACCCATATGAGATAAGTATTATCATTATCATGTATAAACAGAAAAACAATCATGGAGTGTCTAAACTACACATCCAGCCTACTAAGTGGTAGATTTAGGACTAAACCCACATCCTTTACCTTGAGACAATGCTGTTAACCAGTGCACCTCAGACCCTCTCACAGAACTCATACAAGAGAAAATGAGAAGGATTTTTCATTTTCCTACCTAGTTCCAACCAATCTTGGAAGCATTCCCCGTTTATTGAAATAGAAATTTGAATAGAATGTGTTACATAATTTTATCAATAAAACAAATACTGAAAGCATAATTTTGGAAGGCAGTGCATATAGGAGCTTTAAGAATACCAAATACAAATCTTGCAAGCAAAACTGATAATCATTTAATAACCCCTTTTCAACTCATGATAACTGGTTATGTCCTCATAATTTTAAGAAGTACCATAGAATATTGATCTAGAAATTGAAATAAGAATGCTGCAAATGAGTGTGTGAAAATAATCCCACACAGATGGAAATTATACAGCTCAGAACTTTGTGATGAGTCATGCTCTTGGAAGACTGTTCTATTCTTCCCAGAGTCTGTCAACAGAGGGGAGATACAACGTGATGTAGTTTTCATTTTTCAGCTTTAACATCTGCTGCATGGCAGCCCATTTATATCCCTATCTAAGGAAACATCTATAAATATTGGTAAAGATTTCCTTTTTACTTTTTTTTTCCAGACTGTTTATCTCTGTATTTATTCTATTAGCCTCACAGTATCTCTGGATGATCTGAAACTCAGAATTTTGTTAGTATAGCTTATTAGGATCCTACCAAAAGCCAATAGGCAATTCTGTCATAAGGTCAATGTGGTGTGTTCTTGGAAGCGAAAGTATCTGGCTGCTGAAATTCTTCTCTCTCACTTTCTGGCTTATCCATGTACTTCTGGCTCTTTACCAGCAGTGAATACCAGGATTCCATGTACTTCTGGCTGTTTACCAGCAGTGAATACCAGAATTTTAAATGAGTGTTTCAGAAATCCATTTTTTTAAAAATTATGTTCTTTTATTTCATGAAACATGTATGAAAGTGAAGAGAAAATTCACAAATAATTAGTTTAGTGTTAAATTTTTAAAAACTTATAAAGAAAGTAATAAACCTAATGAGTTGGCAACAGAAGTGTCAGCACAACCAGATTTGAGATTTCAGCAAAGTGAATTATTAAACAGTAAAAAAAATTATCTGTTGCCTTGTAGCATTTTAATTGTAATAGAAGAAGTTTGGGGGAATTAAAAGCTAACACTAAAAAAGCAGACTTAGATATTTGGATAGAGAACCCTGCATAAGTCTGTATACTCATAGCAACAGATTGTTTTATTATTTGTTTGTGTAATTGACATCATCTGCTATTCAGAATCTTGGAATAATAGAATCATTTGGGAGGGACTGTGAAGTACATTACTGGAACTGAGTTGGCAGTGTTCACATACTGGTTTGTTTGCTAGTTTGGAATCTGTATTTGTTGCTTTTCTTTAGGTGGGACTCTTCCCTGGACATTGTGTTGAGTTAATTAACCAGAAAATTCCCCAGTCGGTGACCAATTCAGTGCCAAAACCAGGTGAGTACACATTTTCATTAATTTGGTATGACCAGCTGCTCACAGGTACAGATGTTCGATTCTAGTCAAGTACATGGCTTGTTTGGCTGTTCTTCGAATTTATTTATATAATACGTATTCTTAATTTTACATGATTTTAATTTTAAACACTGCCTAATTTCTGTTGCTCATTTTACAAAGTTGTTTATGTATATTCTAATGTTTAGACAACTTTAAAGAATGTGTGTTCCACTAAGCTTTGTCATTACTTGCTTTTATGGTTACTATAGGAGGAATATACTATATACTATAGGAGGAATGCAGCTTATTAATGAATAAAGTGATTTTAAAAATAAGTTTAAAGATCTAACATGGGCATCACAGGCTTGGTGTGATCAATTGGAAGATAACAGTTGAAGGGCATGTATATTTTATCAGTGCCTGTGAACATCAACACTGTTTGAAGCAGCATTTTTTATTACTTATATAATTTATAGTGCTATATAAATATGTGGAATATATTTAAAATAAACAAAGCAGTGTTTCAGGGGATTAAAAAAAGCAGCAAGAAAACTGGGATTTTTGTATGTGTTGGGATGATTTAATCTGGGCAAAATTCTGTAGAGTATCTTGTCTGGAAATGTTCGATCCAATGTAAATTTTTAAAAAGAAAATAAAAATAGACTTAAAGATTTTAAACCAAAGAAGTAATTGAGTTTATTTTTCCTAGTTATATTACATTTCTTCTGTCCTTTCTGGTGAAAGGAGAAGATTTCTAAGCCTCAGAATTTAATTGAACTGCTTAAAGTATCTTCAGAGTTTTGTACAGGCCTATATGTAAGGGGAATTACAGGGGGAAAGTTCATTCTTTCCTTATTTTGTATTTTCTCATTTCTGCTCACAAATCATAAATTTGTCAGTCTTTGTAAAGTATTTAAGTAAAGGTGAAGGGAAGTAACTCCTTTCAAAGCTTATTTCTTTATTGAAGATTAGGTAGTCATTGTTCCAATTTCTCTCATAGGATTTATAGGCAGATTAACTTTATTGCTTAGTAAAGAAAATACTTCAAAATAGTGTTCTCTGCACTTCTACTTGACCCAGGATTCTCATTTGTTTTCAAGGCAATTTTATTTTGCTTTGGTATTTTTATTAAAAGACTGTGCATATTGCTCAGTAGACATTTGTTAATAATTGTGATGAGTGTGAGTTTCTTTTTTAAAAAATATGGCACTAGTCACTTAAAAAATAACAATTTGGGGAAATATAATTCACATACCATGCAATTCACTCTTGAAGTGTATAATTCAGTGTTTACATAATTGTACAACTATTATTACAGTTAATTTTAGAACATCTTTATTACTCCAAGAAGAAATCCTGTATCCATTAGAGACACTTTTTCCCCATTCCTTTCTTCCCTCACAGCCCAAGCAACCACTAATTTACTTTTGGTCTTTATAGCTTTCCCTCTTTTGGAGTTTTTTAAAGGTGGAATATACAAAATATGGTTTTCTGTGTCTGGCTCAAAAGACCACTTAGCATAATGTTTTCAGGGTTCATTTATGTTCTAGCATATAATAGTACTTCATCTCTTCTTTTAAATGGATGAATGAAAGTACCATAGTTATTTATCTGTTCATTGTTCATTTGCAGTTGTCTTCATTTTTGAATGCTGCAGTATTCATGTATGAGAGTTTTTGTATGGACATATGTTTTTGTCCCTCTTGGGTACATGTCCTACTAGAAGTGGAATTGTTGAATTATATTTAACCTTTAGTTACACTTTTACACCATTTTACAGTTCTACCACCAACATACAAGAATTTTAGTTGTTCCATATCCTCCTTCCCTCCCCCGCCCTCTCTTGTTTTTCTCCAGTGGTGCTGACAGTTGTTCTACCACTGAGCTATATCCCTATCCCTTTTCTTTTGAGACAGGGTCTCACTAAGTTGATCAGGCTGGCCTTAAATTTACAGTCTTTCCTACCTTAGACTTCCAAATGGCTGGGATCAAAGGCATGTGCCACTGCTCTCAGCTGCCAGCCCATGCTATTATTTGGATTTTTTTTTTAACTTTTGCCATCTTTCTAAGTGTAAAGCAGTATCTCATTGTGGTTTTGATTTGCATTTTCCTGTTGGCTAATTATGTTGAGCATCTTTATAAGTGCATATTGGCTTAGTATATCTTTTTTGGAGAAATGTCTGTTCAGATCCCTTGCCTGTTTTTAAATTGGATTATTTGTCTTTTCATTATTGAGTTTTGTTTTTTGTCTGGTCCAGGTAAAAGTCAGTTATCAGTTAATAGTGATTTATAAGTATTTTCTCCCATTTTTGGATTTATCTTTCACTTTATTTTTTTAAGTTATTTATTTGTTTTAATTAGGTATATATGACAGCAGAATGCCTTTTGATTCATTGTAAACAAATACAGTACAACTTTTCATTTCTCTGGTTGTATACGATGTAGGTCGCACCATATGTGCAGCCATACATGTACCTAGGGTAATAATGTCCATCTCATTCCACCATCTTTCCTAACCCCATACACCCTTCTCTCCCTCCCCTTTGCTCAAAGTTCTTCTATTCCCCCCCCCCATTATGGATCACCATCCACTTATCAGAACATTCAGCCTTTGGTTTTGGGGGGATTGGGTTACTTCACTTAGCATGATATCCTCCAACTCCATTCATTTACCTGCAAATGCCATAATTTTATTCTCTTTTAATGCTGAGTAATAGTTTATTGTGTATATATATACCACAGTTTCTTTACCCATTCATCTGTTGAAGGGCATCTAGGTTGGTTCCACAGTTTAGCTATTGTGAATTGAGCTGCTGTAAACATTGATGTGGGTGCTTTACTATAGTATGCTGATTTTAAGTCCTTTGGGTTAGACCAAGGAGTGGAATAACTGGATCAGATGGTGGTTCCATTGCAAGTTTTCTAAGGAATCTCCATACGGCTTTCCAGAGAGGTTCTACAAATTTGCAGTTCCACCAGCAATGTATGAGTGTGCCTTTCCCCCCACATCCTCATTTATTGTTGTTTGTATTCTTGATAACTGCCATTCTGACTAGAGTGAGGTGAAATCTTAAAAGAAGTTTTGATTTGCATTTCACCTTTCAATTTCTTGATGGTATCCATTGAAGCATAAAAGTTTGAAGCATAAAAGCATAAAGTCCAGTTTAATTTTTCTTTTTTTAATATTTTTTAAAAGTTTTTAAATAACCTAGTGCCACGAAGATTAACTTTCATAGTTTCTTCTGAGAGGTTTATGGTTTTAGATTTTTCAATGTAAGTCTGTGATCTATTTTTTGGAATTAATTGTCATATATGGTGTGAGGCAGAGATGCAACGTCATGTGGATTGTTCCAACACTGCTTATTGATTGTTCATTCCTCATTGAATTGTCTATCCACCCTTGTAGAAAATCAGTTGACCTTAAGTACATGACTTTATTTCTGGACTTTCAGTTCTATTCCATTGATCTGTATGTCTTATGCCAAGAACTACCCTGTATTGTTTGCTGTGGCTTTGCAGTAAGTTTTGCAATTAAGAAGTGTTAAGTTCTGGAGCTGGGGTTGTGGCTTACGGTAGATCCCTCATCTTGCACGTGCGAGACCCTGGGTTCGATCCTCAGCACCACATACAAAAATAAACAAGTGAAATAAAGGTGTTATGTCCAACTACAACTAAAAAAATAAAATAAAATAAAAAGAAGTGTTAAATTCTAATTGATTCTTCTTTATAAGGGTTGACTTTTTTTTTCTGGATCCCTTCCAGTTGTATATGAATTTTAGGATCAGCTTTTCAGATTCTACAAAGATAACTGGGATTCTGATAGGAATTTTATTGAATCTGTAGATCAATTTGTGAAGTTTTATCATTTTAATATTTAGTCTTCCAATCCCGAATATAGACTGTTTTTCTTTTTATTTAGAGAATGTTAATATCTTTCAGTGTTTTATAGTTTTCAGAGTATAGATTTTGTATATCTTTTATTGAATTTATTTTTAAATATTTTTTGATGCTCTTGTAAATTGTTTTTAATTTTATTTACTTATTGTTCTTTGCAGATACATAGAAATACAGTTTTTTTAATCCTGAAACCTTGCTGAACTGCTTATTTGTTCTATTCATTATTTAGTGAATTCTTTGGTATTTTCTATATACAGAATCATGTCATCTATGAATAGCAATCTTTTTACTTCTTTCATTCCATTCTGGATGCCTTGTATGTATGTATGTATGTATGTATATATGTATGTATTTATTTATTTATTTCTTCCCTCCCTCCTGGTTTCCCTCTAATACAATGTTGAACAGAAGCCTCAGGTGCCAGCAATCTTAGTGTGTGCCTGATCTTAAAAGAAAGAATCTAGTCCCTCACCATTGAGTAAGGTGTTTATGGATACTCTTTCTTTTTTTCAGACTGAGGAAGTTACCTTCTATTTCTAGTTTGTTGACTGTTGTTTTAAGAACAGTGTTAGATTTTTTTCAAAAACAGTCTTCTTATTGAAATCATTCTAGGTTTTTTTATGGTTACTTTTTGATGCTACTAAAATTTGATATCAAAATTTTTTTTGTGATTTCTTGTGCATTGTTTTAATCTATCTTCCCCTAGGTATAAGTTCATTAGTCATTACATATCATCTTTGACATCTTTTACTCAGAAATGTCCTATAAACTGAGTTTTTAAAACTTAAAGTAAATTTTAATGACAATATTAAACTATTATGAGCTGGGGTTTTGGCTCAGTTGTAGAGTGCTTGCCTAGCATCTGCAAGGTACTGGGTTCAATTCTCAGCACTATATATAAATAAATTAAATAAAGGTCCATTGACAATTTTAAAAATATTGAAAAAAAATTTTACTGTTACCAATCAAATACTTTTTCTTATTTTGAATGGGGAATTGACACATATAATAATAACCTCCAGAAGTTTTACATTGGGAGATAAGCCTCCCAATGTTATTGATAATATTAGAAAGTTATTGATAATATTAGAAAGTAGGTTTGA